AGCCCTGCTGTAAGTGGGAAGTTGGATGAGGAATCTGAGATACTCAAATGTTACAACTTCCTGCCTTCTATCTGGAAGAAACAGGAGTGTCGAAATCTTGTTGAAGTTCAAGGCCAGTTTGGATGGGGCTTGGAGCAACCTGTGCCTAGTGGAAGGTGTCCCTGCCCATGGCAGGGGGTGGGACTGGGTAATCTTTAAAGTCCCTTCCAACCCAAATCATTCTGGTATTCTATGATAAACAAAGACTCAGAGCTTTGAAGCTCTGGAAAGCTCATTCCAGCCCTTTGAGGTAATTTCTGCACTTTCCCAGGTTTGGTTTCACAGACATGAACTCCTGGCTGCAGCAGGGCCCAGCTGAGCGGCACGAGAGAGAACAGGAGGAGCCACTGCTCCTGCTCATGTCCAGAGCAGCACAGGCTCTCCTGTGCCTCCCTCACAAGCAGGGAGCCAGACACATCCTCTGACACACACTGAAAGTGAGAAGATAAAAGCAAGGCTCCCTGTGCCCCAGGCAGTACAAGCCTCCTGTCCCTGTCTAGCCAGCAGCATCACTGATGTGACAAGCAAACAGCAGGCTGGGATGGCTGCTGAGAAGGTCTGGTCCTGCCCACCCCACCCCTTCACCTCACCTGCTCCCCGACCTCTCTGTGCCCCAGCTGCCTCTGCCAGCAGAGCTCCAGGGCCGTGGCTGCAAGGGAATTGTTTTGCTTGAAGGTGAGGGGGAAACCCCTCCTTTCTGCACAGCCTGGGATGTGTCTCACCCATGCTCCATCACCATGGATGAACTCCTCAAGGTTTGTAGCAGGATCAGGCTGGGCTCAGTCCAGAGCTAGGAGACCCCAGCAGAGCAGGGCCATGGGCCATGTCCTCACTTTGGACCGTGGCCACCTGTCCTTGAGCTCAGGGGCTCCCCCAAGGCCTGTGGGGACAGCCCTCCCCAAAAGACCCTGTGGGGCTGGGACCTGACCTGGGCTGTGCCAGCCACTGAAATTCAAACCCTTCTGATGCCTGGCATGCACCTGGGGCAGGGCTGTGAGCTGCACATCTTCCTGGCCAAGAGACCTGGAGAATCACGGAAGGTTGGGAAAAACCTCCAAGATCATCAAGCCCAGCCTTTGACTGAATGCCACTTTGTCCACTAACCCACATCACCATGTCATGACACACTGCTGGAAAATGCCACCCAGAATAATAATGCAAATAATCATAACAACTTTTCTGGATCTGTAGAGGGGGAGAAATCATCCTGATGGGTTTATCAGGACAGTGGATTGATTTCCTTCACACACACTCCTTGTAGTCCCTCTGTAAGGGCTCTTTATGGCTCTCTGTGGCTCTGTTTGCAGCCAAGAGCCTCTGACATCAGCACTAATCCTCCCTCCTTATCCCTTGTGACAAGAGTTGCTCACAAAAGGGACACATTCCCAAGAGCCTGGATGCTCTCTTATCCCCACCACTGGGAGGTCTTGAATTTCTCTCTGGATACTCCAGAGCCCAAGGCTTCTTCCTCTCTCCTCAGGTCACAGCAGCCAGTTACCAACAAGTGCCCTTCCCACTGCTATTAACTCATCCCTGACCATTGAGCCCTTTCCTTCAGCTTTCCCAGGGCACTCAGCCTGTCCATGGTGTGGGCAGAGCCTGCCAACCCTCACAGCACCAAGACTCTCCCCACTCCCCAAAGAAAGGCCACAAATTTGTAGTCAGGGGCTGCCAGCAAGAGCTGGTGCCTGGCAAGGCTCTCAATTAGTCAAGTGTTGTTATCCAGAGCCCTGGGCTCAGCTCCTTGACCCCTTGGGATGCTGGCACAGCTCTCAGCCACCCTCTTGGCACAGAGCATTTGTTGAGGAATGGCTGGGAAAGGACTTTTGGTGGCACCCAGGCTCTGTCATGGTCCCTGCAGACAGGACTGAGCACATGGACAGTCCTGGATTTCCCTCCTGAAGGGATGCTGGGCTTTGGGGATGAGGTACTGCTCAGCTGCAGGGTGTGAGGAGCAGCAGTGCAGGTGAGCTGCAGATGCACTGGTGGAGCTGGAGCTTGAGGAGAGCCTGCTGAGAAGAGCAGAGAGAAAACCCAGCCTGGGCTCAGAGGTGCCAGAAGGCATTGCCCAGGAAGGCAGGAGGATCATGTTCATGGGGATTTGCTGGAAGGGGTCATGGCCATGGGATGATGGCCACCCATCACCCAGCATGTGTCACCCACCTGGCCACACTCAGGACCTTCCTTCCCTCTGGCTGCTCTAGAGGGGATGTTTCCTTACTCTCACAGGAGATTTCTCCTGAGATCCCAGAATGGTTTGGACTGCAAGGCCAAAAGCTCATCACTCCTTGCCATGGGCTGGGACAGCTTCTACTATCCCAAGGTGCTCCAAGCCACATCCAACATGGTTTTGGGCAATTCCAGGAATGGGACAACTACAGCTTCTCTGGGCAACCTGTGCCAGGGCCTCCTCACCCTCCCAGGGAAGAATTCCTTCCCCATATTCCATCCAACCCTGTCCTCTGGCAGGGGGAGCCATCCTCCCTTGTCCTGGCACTCCATGCCCTTATAAAATATGGGTGCTGAAGAACTGGTGACACCTGAAGGTTCTGGATGCTGCTGGTGATGGGGCATCTCTCCTCAGTCCTGCAGCACAGAGGGTCCCCAGCACTCACCCTGTGTCCCTTGGGGAACCAGGGGGATTTTCCTTGCTTCCTGCAGGGCTGCAGAACCCCGAGGGGTGGTGGGCACTTTACTTTGTCCAGCTGTGGTAGGAGCACAACCCCATCACACATCCAACAATGCAGCCCCAGCTGGCTCCTCCATCCAGAGCCAAGGCAGAGGGAGGCTCATCCTCCCTCTGCTCCCTCTCTTCTCCCCCAGCACCCCCCATTCTCCTGTCCCAGCTCTGCCTTTGTGTCTGCAGCTTCTGTTACCAACTGCTAATGATCTACATCAAGGCTGCCAGGCAGTGCCGGTGCGAGTGTAAGCAGAAGAATCCAGAGCCTCTAATTACAGAGGAATTAGCAAGCAGACAGTTAGTGTTTAGTGCTAATGAATAGATACATTAAGAGAGACATCACACAGGCTGAGAAGTGTGAGCCCTGATAATAAAGGAGTGTCAAACCAGGGAAACACAAGGAGGAGGATGCAGGGGACTGAAAAAGATTTGCCTTCGACTCAGCTCGCTGGTTTTGCTCAGGTGGGAGCAGCCACGGGTGATCCATGAAGGTTCAAGCACAGCAGAGAAATGCAAGTATGAAATATGAGCATTAAATGATTAATTCATAGTATAGGACCACAGTGGGAGGGTGCAGAGCCCCTTCCCAGCTCCAGGCAGCATTTCAGCCACCCCGTCTCCATCAGGTAAAGGAAGCTGGTCATCCAGACCCATTCCCCTCTCCTTGGGGAAGCCCTGTCTCTGCTTGGAGCCAAACCATGGCCCAGCCTGTGTCAGACCTGCCTCCAGGGCTTCAAAAACACCCTGGCCCCACTCCCGAGCCAACTCCACATCAGAGGGCACCATAATAATTCCCCCAGGCATTTCTGCAGGTTCCCTCTGTCCTCACACTCTGGAAGTGATGCCCAAGTGATGTCCACTTGCCCTTCTGCTGTTTTACCCCACGCACCACCCCTGGCAGCCAGGACACACCATGGCCTCCAGGTGATTCACCCACGCCTGCCAAATTCAGCCCTGGGGGTCAGGAAGTGTCCAGGGCACTTCAGAGGGACCAGAATCTCTCCTGCTCTCCTGCAGGGCTGTGCCTCACTGGCATCCTTCCACCTCGATCCCATTCAGCCAAGTCCCAGCCCCGGCTGTGCCCAGCTCCAGATGGCTCCAGGTGGGCTGGGAAGGCAGCCCCTGGCCAGCAGCTCCGTGGGGCTCCTGCCACCAGCACAGCTGCCAGGGGCACCCTCCTGGGAGCAGCACTACCAGCCACTCTGACCATCCCTCCCCCAGCAAAGCCACCCTGAACAGAGCTGGGGACCCCACTGAAACCCTCCCAGCTCTGTTCTTCAGCTGCTTCACCAGGTGACTCTGCAGTGGCACAGGAACTGGAGCAGATTCCCAGACTGTTATCCCAAATATTCATCTCCCAGCCCCTCTCCTGTGCAGCTCTCCTTTGCTTTCTCACTCTGTCCTGGCTCTCTCTACAGTCCAAGCAGGGACTGCAGCTCCCAGCAAAATGCTGGAGACACCTCACCTTCCCTTTCCCTCCCCAGGAACCAGGAGTGTGTCTGCAACACTCTCATGGTGCCTGCAATGATGCTTGGAGGCAACATCCTCAGGCCCAGCCACACCCAGTGCTGGAGAGTGATGCTGTGACACCAGGGGACAGTGCCACCAGCTGTTCTGCTGCCACGATGGGGAGGCAGCTCTGCCTTGGGGCACGCTGCAGCTTTTCACTGAAATAAGGGATATTTTGACACCCAGGGCTTGGGATTCACTCAGGAATTGCCAGGCATTCATCACCACCAACATCATGGAATAAGCAACACTTCACCCCACTCTTGTCCCCTTCCAGCCCACAGGGACCCAGCCAGACCAGGGACACTGCCCACCCCTGATACTTCAGGTTTTAGCTTTTATATTTTTCAGATTCTATTCTGCTTTAGTGTGTGGATCTGGGCTTCATATTAGGGCATGGTGAGGTCTCTTCACAGAATAGGTATTCCTGCTCTAACTGGGGACCCAAGGACAGCTGATTCAGATCTCAGGCACAAGAGCATAAATTATGTGGGCTGAAGAGAGAAAACAAGAAGGATGGACTTGGTGGGCTAAAGCTGACAATTAGCTCCAAGATGCAAATGGACCAAAAGTGTGAGATTCTGTGACCAGTCAACCATTTTTGTTGCCATTTCGGGTTGTGCTGCCCAAGGTGGATCTATTTGAGACCTCTTAATAAATCCCTCCTCTATTCCTTAGCTCTGTGTTCTAGCTCAGCCTTCACAGGGCATCCCCCATCCCACCCCACCCCACCCTGGAGTGGGAGCTCTGAGGGAGGGGCACAGGGCCTTACCGGCCTGGTTGGTGGTGATGTTCACGGAGGCAAACTGCGGGGAGAAGGGGCTCTGGTCCGTGACGCCGTTGACGGCCTGGATCTCGAAGGTGTACTGGGTGTGGGCCAGCAGGTCGCTGATGTAGATGCGGGGCTCGGTGAGGCCCAGCTGGCGCGGGGCGAACTGCACGTTGTCCCCGCAGCGCGTGCAGGCCCCACGGCCGGCCCCACAGCTCTTGCAGATGATGTTGTACACCAGGTCCTCGCGGCCCCCCGAGTCCCGCGGGGGGCTCCACTCCAGCATCAGCGACGTCTCGTTCACGCTGGAGATCACGGCCTGCGGGGCGGACGGGATGGCTGCAAAGGGAGCACACAGGAAGGTGTGAGCAGCTGCACCTCTCCTCCTCCCCATCCCTGGACAGGACTCTGCGTGAGCTGAGCCCACAGAGGCTCCCAGCCCACAGGGGCTCAGCCAGCACTGCCCAGGGACCCTGCCCACTCCTGATGCCTCAGGTTTTAGCTTTTACATTTTTCAGATTATATTCTGCTTTAGTGTGTAAGTCTGGGCTTCATATTTGGGGATGGTGAGCTCTCTTCACAGAGTAGGTAGATAAAACAGTTCCTGGTCTAGCTGGCGACCAAGGACAGCTGATCCAGATCTCAGACCCAAAAGCATAAACAACATGGGCTGAAGAGAGAAAACAAGAAGGATGGGACTGCGTGGGCTAAAGCTGTGATTGGACAATTAGCTCCAAGATGCAAATGGACCAAAACATATAAAAGTGTGAAACCTCATGACCTGTCATCCATTTTTGTTGCCATTTTGGGTTGTGCTGCCCAAGGTGGATCTATCTGAGACCTCTTAATAAATCCCTACTTCTCCTGGTGTCAGGGATGTGTGCAGCAAGCTGGACATCAAAGCAAAGGGGGGGAATGAAACCAGTCCTCTTACCCCAGGCTAATTTGATTGTGTGAAAATCCTGGCAAAATTTACCAGTTAGTTTGTACAGTGCCCCCAAAACCCCACTGGGACAGACATCTTGTCAAGCATCCCTCAGTGCTCTGACTGAGTGCCATGTCCTTTCCCCACCACTGGTCCCTCCCAGCTGCCCAGCCCCACATACTGGTGCACGGCATGTCCACAGGGTCGGCGTCTGCCCGGTAATATCCATTCCGGCACACGCAGTTTGTGGCCCCTTCCGAGGTTGTCCGGCTGTTGATGGGGCAGTGGACGCACCCTTCATCCCCCTGGCTGGCCTTGAATGTTCCTGAGGGGCAGCCTGGAAGAGAAGAGACCAGTGGTGAGCACTTAGAAGGGGGCTGGGGGGATGCCTGGAGCTGCCCAAACCATCCCTGGGGCTCTGCAGAGTGCAAAGGAAATCCTGACAACTGCAGGTGGGCACCACAGAGAAGGAGCAGCTGTTGGGAAGGCCCTGAGGAGGCACCTGCAGAGATGGGTCCCCACACAGACACCTCTGTCCCTGTTCCCCAACCACGAGTGCAGAACAGGGACTGTAGGAGTGCAGAGGGAATTTTCAGCCACTGCCACATAAGATGTCAGTGGCTGTACCAGGTCAGACCATGGACACCAGAATCCTCCCCCAACAGCGACTGTCAGAGGGATTTAGGCTGGATATGAGGAAAGATTCTCCCCCAGAGGATGCTGGCGCTGCCCAGGCTCCCAGGGAATGGGCACAGCCCTGCCAGAGCTCCAGGAGCCTTTGGACACTGTCCAGGGACACACAGGGTGGGATTGTTGGGGTGTCTGTGCAGGGTCAAGGGTTGGATTTGATCCCTGCGGGTCTCTTCCAAGTCAGGATATTCCATGATTCCATGACCACCCAAGGAGCAGGGTATGAACCACCATGTTGTGTTGCCCACAACACTTCTGCGCTCCCTTCTGAGATGCAGCTCCTTGCACTCAATACCCCACGTGGGTGTTTCTCCACGTTAGCCACTCAGTTTTTTATTCCCTACAAATGTCCTGCACCTGTTTTACCCCTAAAGAGCCCTGTGCTGTAACCACACACTGCAGGAAGAAACTGCTGCTCTCTGCTTCCAAACCAAGCTGCCATTCTTGATGCCATCCCACATTTCCATTGCTGATGGATACTCAATCACCATCTGCCTTGTCCATGACCTCTAGAGTTGTCCAAATCCCTGTCATGCCCCACACTGCATAACACCATTCACTGTGTTATTCTCTTTATTCAGCCATGCCCACATTATTTTTTAACCAGTGACTGTGAAAGCCCCAGGATCTGAGTTGTGAGCTCATCTCTGTGCACGTGTGTGTGAATTGATCTACCAAAGACGCCCCATGGCAGATGTTCTTTAAGGCACTTCCAAACCCAAACCATTCTGTGATTGCACCATCCCATGAACCTGGGGTTGTTTTCTCCCATTTGTATCACCTCAATTCTTTTGAATTCCAATTGCCTTCTCACTCCCTGGTCACATTGTCTCACAGGGTCCTTTTGCAACTCCCCACAGAGTTTTGTTTTCATGACATTGTAGATGTGGCACCTGGGGACATGGCAGTGCTGGGCTGATGATCCTATGGGACATTCCCAACCTTAAGGACTTATGACTTAATATTACAAATAAATTGTTGGTTCTGCTGAGCAGTAGCAGAGGGCTGGGCTCTCCCTCCAGGCTCTGAGCCCCTCACAGGTGAGGAAGATGCTCCACAAGCAGCAGCCACTCAACCCCACGTGTGTCCAGCCCCACAGGGCGGGTGAGAGGGGCACAGAGGTGTGTGGTGCCCACAGCAGACAGTGGTGAAGGCTGGACCACATTGTGACCCAGCACTCATGGATAAAAGCTTTCAACACCACAAAGTCCCGTCCAAGCCCAGGATCACCAGTGCCCAAGGAAAGGCTCAGCTCAGACCTCTGTGGTTCCTCCTGTTGTGACTTTCTGTTCCTTTTAATTCTTACACAGCCTGAAAAGCCTGGGGGGAGGCAGGTGGTTCCTGTGCTGAAACAAGTTTAACAAACTTCTCCTTCAGTCACCTGCCAAGGCTCCCAGGAATGGGGCAGACCAGAAAACAGCCTGGGACAAACATTCACTGGGATTGCTGTCAGCAAGAGCCATTGCTAAGAAGTAGCTCTTTCTTATTTGGGAAAAAAAGGAAAAAAAGAAGGTTGGATTCTTCAGTTGCCATCTCCTTTCCTCCAGAATTAGCCTGAGTTTCCAATGAGAAAAGCTCTACAGAGAAATTCCATCAGCCCTCCTGCTTGCTCCGTCCCTCCTTCCTCTCATGGCCAAAGGAGCTGTTGAGAACCAGGATCCTCCTCACGTTCCTGGATCTTTCCATCGATCCCTCACCTGCTCCACTCCATTGCTGACCCCCTTCCCTCGGGACCAGCCCATCTCAGAGGGTGTTAAGCTGTTGGGAGAGGTGATGGCTGGGCAGCTCTGCATTCCCCAGAAGCGATGGGGACATGATAACAGGCTTCCCGCACTAATACCAATATTTGAGACACACAAAAGACCAAGAGATAAAATTGCTCTCATCTGACAGCCCAGGTGAAATGCAGGGTCATTCCAGCAAGGATAGTTTCAGACAGGGGCCTCTTTCACCTTCCTGAGGTTTATTTTAAAAATAGATACTTTCCTATAATGCTTCTTCTGCATCAAGACAGAGAGACATCCAAAAAGTGCCCAGGCTGTGGAGTGTAGTGACTGCTCCAAGGGATAAAAACATTCCCCACACTGGCCCTGGCACAGGTCAATGGCTGGAGAGGGATAAAAACTGATACTCAGTGGTTGTTCCTCAAAAATGCTGAGCTGGGACACTGAAACTCTTTGCATGAGCCACCAAAACACAGCCAGGAGTTTGGACAAGTCCCTTCCTCCCCAGCCGGTCCCACATGGGTAAAATAATCCTGAAAAAATCAGAACTTCTCCAAAGTTAAATGTTCTGAAATCATGTGTAAAGACAGGAAAATCACTGAAATTTGATGCAAAGTCCTTTTTTCTATTGATTTATTTTTCTCCAGTAATGACAACTTCCAGAAGTAAAATAAATGAACATTGTCTTCAAAACTGTTCTGCTCTCTCCAAGTCTTCCGTTGGGTGAGAAAACAGATTTTCTTTAGGAATTTTTTGTTTCCAGAATAAACACCAAATCAAAAGTAAAATCTTCACACGGGGGCTGAAACCTCTCCTGCATGAACAATGGGAATGTTCTCACCATGTGCTGGAAGCATCACAGAATCATGGAATATCCTGAGCTGGGAGGGACCCACAGGGATCCTCCAGCCCAGCTCCTGGCCCTGCACAGACACCCCAGCAATCCCACCCTGTGCCTCCCTGAGAGCCTTGAACAAATGCTGCTGTGGCAGCCTCGGGGCTGTGCCCATTCCTGGGGAGCCTGGGCAGTGCCAGCACCCTCTGGGGGAGGAACCTTTTCCTCATGCCCAGCCTGACACAGACATGAGGACACCCCAGCTTTCTGCCCTGGGAGGTGACAGCAGCTTTGGGACATTGCTGCTTTTCCTGAGGCTTGCAGCAAGGACATCCATAGGAATTCCTGCTTGCAACGAGGGAAATGAAACAGTGAAAGCACAGAAATTTCTACTTTATCCAAGCATCCTTGATCCCTGGGGGGTGATTTCGGTGCCAGTGGCTCTGGCCCCATCACTGCAGCAGTTTCCCCACCTCCAGCAGTGATGGAGCTAACAGGGCTCACAGGCACCTTTCACAGCCCCATGGCTGGCTGCCCTGCTGGGGTCCAGCCCTGGAGGCAGCCTGAAGCACTGGCTGGGGTGCTGAGGAGCACTGGGGCTCCTTGTTTCTCACTCACTCACTCACTCACTCACTCACTCACTCACTCACTCACTCACTCACTCTCTCCCTCCCAGGGCATGGAAAGCTGCTTGTGCCTGGGAAGCCATGTTCTTTGGGAATCACAGAATACACTGAGATGGAGGAGACCCACAAGAATCATGGTGTCCAGCTCCTGAAGGGAAGGGAATGCCATGGGAAGGCCCCACAGAGGATCCTGCCCTCCTGCAGAGGAGCACACCAGGATGTGGGAGGCAGGGCCACCTCTGCTGCTGGCACCAAGCTTCCGCTTCCAGCCCTCCTGTCCCAGGGCAGCTCAGCAGGGAAAGCTTTTGTCCAAATGTGCAGGAGGGGCCACACAGGGGTTCCCTGCTCCTTCATGTCTTACTGCCTCTCTCTAACCAAGTGTTTAATTAATCCAGTGTGAGCTGGGCAGGCTCCAGCCAGGCTCTCCTGCATCCCAAACTGCCCTGGCCTTCAGAGTCTACCCCAGGCCCCTCCTGGAAACAGCTCTGAGCAAGCAGCTCCCTCCTGCAATAAAAGTTCCTAAAATGGCACCTTCAGCCCATGCTGAGGGCTCTGAGGGAGGAAGGATTCTTCTCAGCCCCTCTGCCTGGCCCTGTTTCTGCTGGCAGCAAGGATCCCTGAACTCCAGAGAGGCATTTTTAAAGGCTGATGGAAGCCAGGCAGCCCTGGCTGTCAGGATCTGCCAGGAGCCTTAAATCCCCAGCCTTATCTCCCCCTGGCTCCTCTCTCCCTCGGGGCCAGGGCTGGGGGCTGGCTCTGCAGCTTCCCTGCTGCTGCTGCAGGGCCCAGGGCTGCTCCCCTGGCCACCTCCTGCCTCCTCTGGGGCTGTGGGGTCCCTCTCCATGCCTTTGGGATTCCTCCTCCTTGCTCTTGGGGTCTCGGCCCCACAGCCCTCCCTGCTGCCACCTCATCACCCCACAAACCCTAGGGGGGTGCCTTGGCCCCACAGCACAGTGCTGCTCCCACTCTGACCCCACACAAAATGAGTCCCACAGAGAGGCTCTTATGGAGAATGAGGAAAACAATGCCCTGGGCCAAGCCAGGAGGAGCATGGCCAGGACACTGGGAGAGGTGTTTTCCCTTCCCTTGCCAGGCATGGGGATGCTGCCATGGTTAGGCTAGGATTGCCCAGTTCAGGGGTGATATGGAGGAGCAGAAGAGTCCAGTGAAGAGTCACCAAGAGGGTCACCCTAGGGAACAGGGCATGGGAGAGGTGAGAAGAGCTGGATGGGGTAACTGGGGATACTGGGGTAAGGGGGGATCTAACTGCACCTGCTGAAGATAGGCTCAGACACTTCTCAGGGTGCCAGACTCTGCCACACAGGACAAGGACCACAGGTTCAGACAGGACATTGTGAAAAGCTACTTCTCCAAAAAATGGTGCTGACCTGGGAGAGGGGTGGTAGAGTTCCCTCTTTGGGGTAGATTGAGCCCAATTGCATGGCTGCCTTGAGCTCATGCT